CGCTCACCGAGATCCACAAACGACACGGGAGCAATCACTTCATAACGTCTTGCTCAAAAACAATACTCAGACAGATGTATCCAGCCTGAGCAAAAAGTTTTATTTAGGGGCTGTAAGTCCCACTCCAGAAATTATTCGTCCTTTTACTTTTTAAGATTATCATAGGGTTCGGACTTATGAGGACGCTCTTACACACATTACCAGCTAAATTCTAAACCCCAAAACTTGTCAGGATGCTTTGTTTTTTTTATTCCAAATTTTAACCGGTTGCTTTTATGTACCCCAAAACTTGTCAGGATGCTTTGTTTTTTTTATTCCAAATTTTAACCGGTTAGCTTTTATGTCTTCATAAGAAGCAATCTGAAATGGCCACTCTACATCGAACATAAAAATGGGGGCTGCTGAATTACATCACATTTTATCTGGTTCTGTTAAGATTATCCTCAGGAATCCACTTTCTGAATGCTACCCAATACTGGCGAGTTCTGTTAACGTAAAACAAGTAGTCACTAACAGGAACCGCAAGAGGTTAACCCCAATTCTACTGCGGTCTTATCACTAAAGCCTGGTGTTTTATCATTGTAAAAGAATAGTGTGCAGGTCTATGGGGTTGATATGAGCACACTTGAACTGCATGCACATCGAAACAGCTGATCGCTTGGGCCACCACCGTAAACACGTTGAGCCAAATAAAAACATGTTCTGCGGCTCTTCAAATCACTGAGGTTCGCCATGCTCCGGCTGACCTTTTTCTGTCACGTTTTTGAATGCATCCTACTCTCTTGGCCTGACAAGCTTGGATTATGGAACAGATGAATTTCTCATGAGTTGACCTCTAACCACAGTTGTCTAGGTGGTAGTTCGGGCACGCCGACCTACTCACTAAAACGATAGCGCGCGGTTCGTACCTAAGCTAGACCTGAGAACGAATTTAGACAGGTGGAATTCCAACGGGAATTCATGCAATCCTTTGTGACAAGTCTTTTTGGGTGCGTGCGCGTTTTTGAAATGTTCCCACTATCTGACTCCCCATTCACAACGCTGAATTACGCATAAAATATCACAAAATCATGTGACAGAAGCCGGAAAGTTTGCACCAGAATCAAGGAACAAGGCGAAACTTTTGTCTGCTGTAAGGAAAAACAATTTCTTCAAAACGACAGAGACCCGCAAACTTCGTCGAAACATGACCTTGGCAAGGAGGCGGGTCGCTTCGGTAGGAACAATGTGTCAATTCACACTTTGAGCTGCTAGCGAAAGTAAAGTTGTTTTCAAAAAAGATTATTATGGACAGTTGCGTTCTGAGAGCTAGAGAAACTCAAACGTGTTCCCGCATTTCCCTGGGCATTGCTTCAGTATCTGACGTAAATGAACAAACGCAGTCGATTGGATGCGGAAACGGCGTTTTAACCAGCCCTGAAAAGATATTACTGGCGTGTTATATCAGTAGTATACGCCATTGTAGAGACAGCTATAAGGTATCCCCAATAATAATGATGAACACCATTATCATTATTAATTCTGATAGACCAGAATTGCCTTGGAATTTTCGCCACACGTAAAATACGTCACTTCAGAAACTTGCGTAAAACTTGTCGCAAACTCTGTCACTCAGCTACCGGAAACAATCTGTCATCTGAACCAAAGTAAGCAGACTACTGTGACACAGTTTCCACTCTAAATTATCCCTTTATTCTGGCTCATTCTAGCTTCCGTAATCTACGGCAGTGAAACAGTATGCGACAACGATGCAGCCCAAAGCATTCAACTCTTTCCTAACAGATTCGAAATTACATTTTAAACGTTTCACCGCATGGTCTCCCAACTCAGTTCACCTCTCTTCTCCCCCAGTTCATTCATATTTTCCTGGTGCTTATCTGATCAACTGCCAAACGACCATAAATGAGGTGAATTCAAAAGTCGGTAAGGACGACAGAGTGCTTGAACAAGTCTGTGGGTAAAAATAACTTACGAAATGATGTAGAATTTTGGTGACGAACGAGTGTGATTTAAAGTCAAAAATCAATTCCAGTTGACCATGACATACTGTATTTTTATGAACTTTACTTAGAGTGGTTCTGTTCAACACAGGTGACGATGATGTGAAGCACGTGACCAATATTTTTACCGAAACGTATGTCTTGGTCTGTAATAATAGGTCCTTGGAAGAATGCTACTCCTCACACATTTACAATATCCATCAATTTGTCTCGGTGACAGACAAAACCACTGAAATTTTGCGTCCATACTTGGGGCGAAGCTCGATAGCGCATCTGTAAGCATCCGGAGTTTCGTTTTCGTGTCTTTCAAAAATCCCGCTTGACTCATGCCTGACCGTCTCAGTGTGGTTGAATTTCTTTGTGTAATCTCAGCTACAGCTTCAAAACCAACCAGTTGCTCTTTGGCTTAGGGCTATTCAAATAGTGTGGCCAACATACAGCAAGAAAAGTGCGAGAATTCTTTCTTGAGTGGAGTGGAGTTTCAGGGAGTAAGGTTATCAGTCCCCTGATTCTGGGGATAAAATCGAGGGGATGGCGTAAAATTCTGGGTGGGTTTGCTGTAACAACCGCATCCACAGCTGCGTCACGGATTTTGGCTCTGAAACGCAGACCCCAGCTGAATAACCAGTGACCTGTTTGAACCAAAAAATAGCTAAAACTTTCGCGAATTCCTAACTGATGACGACATATTTGTAGCCTCATCGTGTCTGCTGATTTATTTACCGAGTCTGACAGTGCGTTTTCAAATCGTCGGTCGAGGTAAGGTCACCGGTAGTTACCATTTAAACCGCTCATATTTGGGTGAATTTCGGAATTCTATATGGGCCCACTGATAAAATTCCCATAAGGAAAAAGAACAATCCGCGGAACTGAACAAGAGGCATTGTTCGCAAGGAGATGTCGCACCTCCACTCCACAAGTTTTCCTTGTTTATTATACTGAATAACGACCAACCATCTGTTGGACACTACTCATGCTTGGACTCAGACCGTAGCTGTCACATCATGGCTTGTTTCCACAACCGAACATCGGCCGGACAAAAACACGATATCCGCGAGTGTGCGTCTGTGATATCAGGCCCTAATGAACTGCGCGAAATTTCATCATCGAGGTTCGTTTTTACGTGACCTTTCTGAGAAGCGACTAGTGTGCTCAACGCATGAGGCCTAAACCCCATTATGTTAATCACTGCTTCCTCAGCCTGCTGAAACGGTGGTCAGTTCTTTCTTACTGGGAATCACTGACAGGACTATCTTGGGGGACACTCTTGGAGGAAACGAAACCTAAACACTGTGGGTGGGAAGTTAACATGCACCCAGCCATCAGGGCTGATCAGCGCTATGATTAACTTAGGGTTAGGCAGAGTAAAAGGCCCATCGTTTCCTGGTCATTTAGTTTCTGTTCTGTGATCCGATTGGCGAATTTGCATTTGGAAAGGTTAGGCTACCGCCAGGGTGGTACTATTCGAGCAAATTATTTATATCATGCATCAATTAAGTTCTTAATTTGAACTTCGTCTCATAAATGCAGTGAACTTATACCGTTCTTTGTTATCAACGAGGACTAAACAAACAATGAGTAACTCGTGAACTTCTTGTAGGACTCGAAGCAACAATCTAGCACTCAGTACTCAACGTATTGGTTTGAGCAGACGCAATCTTTTCTACCTATTCATCTTGCCAAAACACATGCATAGCGTGGATGAATCAATCGACGAAGCGAACAACGAAACTAAAAACTTTTGATAAAGCTCGATGCATTTGTCAGGGCTGACACGATGTTCGAGAGTCAGGTGGGAGTACCGTGCGATTTTCTCCCCTCTTTGATTCTCGTGTACGTCAGAAGGGATTCTCATCTCAAATGCGAATGCCAGCGGCTTCGGCAGCGGTCAAAATCCTAGGTCCAATTGGTTTTCGCTGGTCCGATAAAACTGTGTATGTACGTTTAAGGGTCATTTCAACGTCTATATGATGTTCTGTAGGTCGGCTATAACTGAGCTGATAACGGAACGATGGTCTTCTGAAAAAACTGGCCGGAATTAGTTTAGACACTTTTGGATAGCTACCTCGTTGTTTGACCGATGCGCTTGCATCCACATTACTAGGTGAATGGATAGTCATGCATAGAGGCCGTTTACCACAAAAGTCCGTCCTTCATGTGCTGCCTGACGATAGAGCGACCTGACAAGAGAACAGTTTGCTGGGTTATCGGGCATATGGGTCAGTATTACACCCCATTCCAGCTCACAGGCGGATAAAATATTTGAATGTGCCTCGATAAAACAATCAAAATAGACTATCATAAGTACGGCAAATCCAGAAAGTAAAGAACATTGGAATGAAACCAGATGATCGATTCTCCAGTGTGAGAGGAGAATGTATGCAAAACCACAAAATCAGCGGTAGTTCCTGGATTACTTTGATCAAGCCTAAGTTGATCGGCCCTAATCCAGCATCACCGATAATTAAACAAACCATTAGGGTCTTCGACTCATAAGAAATCTTCCTCATAAGCAGCTGGAGTAAGTGCTGAGACCACAAAAAATCTCTGAAGCATTTTTCATGGGGCGAGATCGTTCAGTGGTTAGAGCGCGAATTTACTGACAGAAAGGTCCGTGGTTCGAACCCGACCTCTGCCTCTCGACTTCCCTTGTCTAGGCTTGGGCAACCTGACAGTATCCCAGCCCTCGTGCTTCCCTCTGGTGACATGGCAGTTAGGCACCGAAAGGGTCCTACGGCTGAACGATTTTTTCATGAACATTCCACTTTGTAGCTGAATCCAATCTGTGCTGAAAAGCCAAGAAGAATTGTATAGCTGTTTCACCCCTGCTTGGAATCATCAGCAGTTCACGCCTCACGAGACTCGAGAGAGCCTCGACTCCACAACCTTCAGCATAGCAATTTGAACGCTTAACCGTTCGGCCACGAGTGGCGGCTTAATTCGCACCTGAACAGGATAGAGTGGCACTCATCGTTCAGTCAGTAAATGCACATCACGTGATCACTTGTTGACTGACTCCTCTAGTGATGGAAGATTCACCCATCGGGTGAATTCTATTCTTCCTCTAAGTTGTTTATACGCAGTTAGTGGTGTGATGGAGATTTGGATATGTTTAAATGGATATTTCGTTCTGCAAATGAGGCCTAAAAGTACTTTGAAGATGAAAAACATGGAGGTAGCAGTTCAACAGTGCATCTCGCCTCTTCAGTATAGATATGCCCCACTTAAACGACGATGTCTTCACTAAAAAATTTCCAAGTCTCCTCACACCACCAACAAGCCCTGGAGTCTATCTCCGTAAAACAGGTTTTTCGGGATATGCCAGCATTATTCAGAACGAGAAAATGCTCGTCGATCTTATATCCAAATGAGCACGATCCCGAAGACATAAAACCAAGAGTCGCCAACCTCCGTGCACTAGACGCCTTCTTTCACTGGAACCGACGGCTTCATTTCCGGTCTCTGTCGGGGGTCAGTGGACCCCAATCTGATTGCTACAAATCTTTTTCATGAAGTATCAGACCAGCCCAATCTTCCTTCATTTACAGGTTATCATGTAGCTATACGGAGTAAAAATTTTAAAGACCTTTCAAAGTTGACTTTTCATCACTGCGGCTTAATTTTATGCATTTCACGCGGGCAACTTCAGCCCAATCTTCCTTCATTTACAGGTTATCATGTAGCTATACGGAGTAAAAATTTTAAAGACCTTTCAAAGTTGACTTTTCATCACTGCGGCTTAATTTTATGCATTTCAGGCGGGCAACTTCAATCGTTTCTGTTCCCCCCCCCCAAACCAAGCGGAGAACAGTATCCCATCAGTGTGCAGCTGCCTAAGGAAGGAAATGCCAAACAGACTGTTTTGCGGCCTCAGCATTTGTGTATGCAATCACATTTGTTCATCGGTACACAACATTTGCGTTTGAAAATACCACCGTGGATTGCATAAATCTCTGAACCGCCGCTCAAAAGTCGGTGTAGTTGGGCAAAATAGCATGCCTCTATTGATACTCTTCTCAGAATGGACTGGACACACGCAAGCTCTGCGCAGCTGACACTGCATGATAGGAGGAAATAGCACGGAAAGTTGGATAATAGTCTTGCGTACCCAAACAGCTGCTACTCACGCGGTAACAACAGATGCCCTGTGATATTTGGATCACAAACTCAGGTCCTGTGGAATAAAATAAAGGGGCGTTACAAAATTTCAGTTTGACTTAAAGGACTTGATTTCGATAAACGGTCATCACCGTATGGCAGTAAGATACTGGTGTATTCTTGACAATATCATTGACCCGACTGTCTTCGTATTACGTTTGATGCTGTACCGCACTTATCCCGCCTCGAATTCAAAGTGGCATTTTCATCTGGCTTGGGTGCAGTTAAAAGACTAAGTCTTGGGCCCAATGGTCAGTGATTAGGTGCTTTCAATGGCCATATGGTAGGAAAAACAGAACTCGAAAGTTGTTACCCGGGTAGAAAAATCGGAAGCCCTGGAATGGTTCACTACCTACCGGGTTCCTCTACAACACACAAACCAGTGCAGGTTCAATTCAGTAACCACGTAGGTGGCCGAAAAATACTACGTTCAATGCAATAGTTTTTCAGTATAGTGACAGCGTTTCTTGGTAGCATTTTTTCTAACTAATCATACTATGTCTACTCCTATTGTATTCTTGAGGATGATTTCACTTTCCTATTCCTTCCACCAGGGCTTCAGGTAGGTCCACGATTGGTGGTAAAATGCATCAAGCCGCCTCACCCGAAGCTATCGAATGCCACTGATTTTCAGTAATTTGCAACTTGAAACTGTGAGATTCAGAAGCGAGCCGGGGAAGTAGGCACAAACCAGCACAGTGATCCTTCCCAGAGTGAACACTTGTGAGACACTCAAAGCGGTTCCTTCCTGGGAGCTCCTGTTCAACAAATCATCCCTCCTTCATATGATGAGCGCATGAATCCAAGGCTGGAAATCCCATTCCTCATATATTGTATGTTATCTGCAACAGACTGCATACTATATGCTGGAAATAGGACTCTCGAATAATGAACAATTAACGCGGGATGCCACTAGGGACCTTAACATCTGGTTGGTTAGCAGAATCGTATTAGCTGTTGTAGATTATCTGCGAAGAGTGGTACCGAGAAGAGAGCCAAAATATTTCGTTCCAAACGCGGACAAACAAAAATTTACACTGGAAACTATTAGCTGACAACTGGGGGGAATCATGTCTATGCAGATTCTTCCACATTTCAAAAGACACTTTGAGACGTGTATCTTGGTACTACATAAATCAAGAAACGCTAGCTTTGAATTCAGACTTGTCCTGGTAGAGAGTAGCTGCGAAAGAATATCCTGTATCTTCAGACAGCCGATTGCTATTATCTCAAACACCGAACGTCATACAAAAATCTTCATATCAAAGCTCGTCTTAGATTCTGTTTTGAAAACACCAGTATTCACGAATGAGGAAAGTGAAGTCCCGGAACAGTCCGTCCTCAGGAAACTGTATCTTGAGTTATCACATTTCCGAGATAATGGATTGCGGGTTTGGTTCCTCGAGGCAGTTCAGGGTCTATCAAAAAATCAAAATAAAGTACTTGATGCTCACGTCTGACAAGAAACGAGGATCGGTTTCGGTGAATAATTCATACTTTAAACATCTAGAGTTACTTTCTTCTTTTGTACTAGCAAGTCCGGTCAAGTTAAAAAGTAACAGGAAGGTGAGTAAAGCAACGAGGCGTTTATTTACACACTACTGGCGGCTAGGTGGGAACCGAAGTGAGGTCAAAACAGCCTGAAAGACGTTGGCGAACAGTTCGTGTTTCTTTCGCACCAGTTTGCAACAGTCAGTCACCCGTGACTGGGCTGTTCTGTAGCTGTAAAAAAAGTGACGTAAGGGGACAAGTCATATGCCGATGAAAAGAATTACGACAGCACAAAAATTCGAATCTCATGTCAACAAAAATGGCACGATGAGTACTCTGGAAACAGCTCATACTCCTCGATCCTCGTGCTAAACATCCCGTCCATGTTCATGAAAGGGATAAGTTTTACCGAAATGACTATGTATGATACGCTGGCGCACATGACATCAGAAAGCCAACCTCATGGGCTTTCTTATTCCCCGAGGACCCGTAGAACTATGCCATTGTGAATGCTGCCGTAGCAGAACTGCTAAATCGCAGCCTTCGCGAGTGACTCCATCTTTCATTGCATCTGGTTCAAATCGCCCCACCCAATCATAAGTTTGGGTTTGTCCAGAATTCAGTATACCGACACCCCAGCTCCTATATGGTCAACAGTTAATACTACTGTTGATGAATTTCAGCAGTTAGAATTTCTTGGATAAAAATCATCCAACAGAAACCCTTCGTCCTCCTCCGCAAGGCTGGCCAGTCTACGTAGGTATGTGGTGATAACGAACGGAATTTGAGGTTATAGCCTATTCCCAGTCTAAATAAGAACCAATCAAAACTATAACAGAAGACAAGAGAACCGGTGAATCGCAGCAGCAACCGTCAAACACAGCTGATATTGTGAAAACAGTCCCATGAAGGAGACGTGTACTGATTTCACCAGTGGCAAGAAGAGGCTATTTTTGAGGGCGAAGCAACAAGCAGCACGAGATAATCTGACGGTTTTTTGGCACAGCCACAATTCGGCTCATAGAAAGCAAAAGACTGATACTGTTGGCCCAGTCAGGTTTACGCAAAAGCAACAGAGCAGACAGATTCAGACAGGTTCACATATTCAGAGTGAATGTGTTGCAATACACCATGAAGTTCACCAAAATCAGGTTTGACATCCGAAATAAATCACTAATGCTGAAAAAAGCAGAGCGTGAGCTACTGACAGTGAAGTGGTCTGAACCCACAAGCGACTTGCCAATTAATCCTGTCTAGGCTAGGATAACCTGATAGTTTCTCAGTCCTCTTGTTTGTTTCGAGTTATACAGTAGCTACGTAAAGCAGGACCGCCGCAAACGAACGGTTGAATTCACCGTTTTCCGACGCGGTTGCCTGGCCAATATATGAATACTAAAGTACTAAAGTAAGCAGTTGCGGAGAGATACCCAGGTGATGTCATTGGTGTGTAACGGCGTTGATTGCTCACCACAGATATCCCTGCTGAAGCAGAACACTCAGGATATGGGTAGAAAAACCGTATACACAACCAAACGGACGGTAGAAGGGACGGCCTTGTTAACAACAGATGAGCTAGGTGCTGCAAACTATCAATGTCACCCTGTAGTCGAACATAAGAGAAGGAATACCATTTTCAAAGAGTGCCCAGGAGTCCCTGTCTATCCAGTCACTTGGCTATCAATTTGACTAGGACAAAAAGACCGAATTCACGTCCGCATCTGCCCAGAAAGTTAAGTTGTCAACGGAAATGAAGTGGCATTTATTCCCCTCGGTATAAAGCCGAGGTCATCCTAACCTATTGTCACCCGGCAAGTTTCCACAAACAATCCTTTCAGGCACAATCGTCCATTGAGCCCAGTCAATTAAGAGTAGAGGAGACGGGAAGGAAGAAGGATATCTCGATCACCCATCTAATGGGTGCTGCAATCGAGTGCGTCACGTTGTCCATTACGATGATAAGAGCATGAAAAAAACCTATACGGGAGTCTAGAAGAGCATGTCTTTCGGTTTCGAGAATCCTAAACCCATCCGTGCCAATCATTGCAACGGTTGCTCGTAAAGGCAACGCTTGGCATGTTGGTTTGTGTGCTGTCATGCACCCGCGAACTTCTGCAAACGCAATGAGATGAACTTCCTTTCTCGTCGTTCCTAATCTTTAGGTTAAACGAATGCGAAAGTTCTCCTGTTTAATGTTCGGTCATGCGTTCACCATGCGTGCCATGCATGCCATGTTCACCATGCGTTCGTCTCTCATTTGTGCTCCAAACACTTTCAGTACGTGAGCTGCTGGTAAACTAAACGAACGCCAATTTTCCGCTCAAACTCAGCATGGACCACAGCTGCCTAATGCAAAACGAAGTTTAGGAGCTTCAGATTTACTGACAAATGAGGCAACAATAATATCCCCTGAAGAACCCAAAGAGTGCGACTTCCATGGACATAGTTGGGCGGCAGTGGGATTGTCACTTTTATGGAGTTGGACAAACCACCGACCTAATAAAAGGTGACTGGGATAAAAATCATGAGCTTTACTACCCATAGAAGGCCTTGCCTAGCCTCGCACCAGAAAAAGCCTAACACAGTAGAGCCTTAGCAAAATACACTCATTTGCAAACAGATTTGGTTTTGTGAGCTGAGAGGGAGATTCAACTGGGTCCACCTCACAAACCCAAATTCGTTTGCAAATGAGTGTAATTCGTTAATTTCGTTGACGGAAACTCGGGAACTTCGCCAACCTGATGAGCCCCAAGCAGAGCGAAGCCGGTCATGGGCTGTCGAGGAATTTTCAGCAACCTTACCAGTAGTGTATTACGTCTGTAAGAGTAGAACCTCGTTCACCAAATGATTGGACAGTGTTTGAAGTGTGACTTTATACTTTAATAAACTTTTAGCCTATTCTTAAGGAACCTCTTTGGCTCGAGAGAGCTGAGCGATTGAGGCGCGAAACGACCGAATCCAAACTTGACTTTTCGACTGCTGCTGTCTAAGTCTCGTGCTGCCTCAGAACAGCGCTACGGATACGCAGTGAACGTTTGTTTTATTTGCCTCTGATGCGTGCAACTTATTTGAGATAAATGAATGCCTCTAAAGAAAGAGATAATTTCAGAGTGCTCCAGCGCATAGTAGTCCTGTTACTCGACATATTTATTCACTGCATTGACCAACAAGTCATGTTTTTCTTCGAAGCCTTTCACAAGAAAAGGTATGAACCGCTTACCTGCCTGTAGGTATGCTCGAATCGTCAGGTCATAAACTGCTTCTGTATCTCCTAATTGTAACGTCATTAGTGATTTACACAAAACGTACAGATCGACTATCAGAAGGCAGTTCATTTGCCCGTAAGGTGCAGCAATCTCTGCAGTATCGCTTGGTGTAAAATGTAGAGCACGTCTAGAAATGAACAGAAATGTTGGAGGGAAACCGAAGTTTTACCTGCGACGTACAGACCATTTCTTTGCATAGAGAACAATCAGAACCCAGTATGACACCGCCCAAGTTGTCTTCCGCAAAAGGGTCACGAATGACGTAAACTTCTTCAAGTAAACTGGATTTGTTGTTGGGAAAACACAGACGTAGATCACCTCAGGTCTTTAATAAAACACTTTGGGGCTTTACTTTTTTCCTCGTACTTCAGGGTGAAGTTACAAATGGCGCAGCGGAACAAGCAGCTATTAGCAGTCATGGCCCAACTCGATAAGGATTAGAGCTAGAACAGTGACAGAAAAATAGCAAGAATGACACAACCCAAGAGATGTACTTATCATTAGCATCTTAACCACGGCAAAAGCTCTTCCACGCATACTTCATTTCACCCTTGACGTGCACCTCCTATGCGCAGCAGAGGATATGGTTTTGGCATCTGTGTCACACTAAACACATCGTTCAGCTGTGGGGCATCTTGGGTGCACAGCTACCACCTAACCCGAAGGAAGGACGAGGGTGTCGAATCGAAAAGTCAAGGTTACATATGAACCACAAACCTTTGGGGAAACCACCTCAAGCCCAGCAGGTGACCAGGAAACGTCCTATTATGAAAAAGCCGGAGAATACTCCCAGCACTGCACTGCATTTGCATTTCTCGCCAAACATCGCTGCCTTGGGAAGGCTTTGAATGAGGACTTTAATCGTCCTATTGTCTAGGAGTGGGCGTCCTGGCGGTATGCCAGCACACGTACCGACCATGACACTTATATGACACCATAGGTTCTGGATGTAAAACAGCGTCTTTCCTGGTAGACAATGGTGGCGCAGACGTAGTACATACTCCAAATGTAGCTGCCTTAGTAATCCCAACTCATTGCCAAGTACTCACTTAAGCGCTGATTCACTGCGTACACGCAACAATCCTGTCACACTGACGGTCAAAGGTATTCAAACAACACGACTCCTTTTACAATTTCTGCGTATATGCAACCGTTCAGATTCATTTGAGATTCATCTTTGACACCAAAGATGACGCGAGTTGACAAACGCTGCCCGGACTTTGTTATTGCGCGCAGTAAATTCAACTGTCAGTACAAAATATGTAAACCCATTAGCAGTATCAAGCTTTTTACCTCGAAGTTTCAACGGAGCACAGGACTGCAAATCTATGGGCAAAGATTTACAGTGCGAAGGTGCAAAACGTGATGCTGGGCAATGCCTCACCGGAACCCATGTTTTAACGGCCTCCGGAGATATTTCGAACGCAACTGCTACGCCTCTGGCAAGTGAAATAGGGCATACCAGACCACAGTAGTCAAGCTGATGTAACGTCTACACCACAAATTCAAAGGTTAGCAAACGGTCCTTCTAAGGCAACCGACCATGCAACGGTGTGGACTCATGCTAGTTGACTCTCCTTCAGGCTCTTGCAAGTTAGCAAGAGTATGTGTATCCATCATCATCGGAAAACGACTACAGTGTCGGGAGGCACTCCTCCTAACGAACATATTGCTCACATTTCTCTC